CCTCAGACCCAGGAGTCCTGGCCCCCAGCCCCTCCTCCCTCAGACCCCATGCCCAGTGTCCAGGCCCCAAACCCTGGCTTCCAGGTAGAGAAAAAGGTGTTGCCTTTTGTAATTTGGAGAATACGCTACGGAAAAGGCCAGGAGTCTGGGGCTAGGTCAGTGGTGCGTGGCTGGGGCCAGTCCCCCCGCCCCACCCCCAGTGTCGCCTTGGCCATCACCCAGGACTCTGGGGTCATGTTTGCCCATCTTTCATCCTTCCCGGCTGCAGGAGGCTGAGGGAGATGTGGTGGGCGCAGGACAGGAGGGCGAGGGCAGGGGGAACTCTCCAGACTCCTGGGTCTTCCCCAGGGTGAGGGGTGCTCCAGCGACTTCCACTACAAGGACAGTAAGAAGGAAGGGGTGGGGTGCAGACCCTGAGAGGCAGGCCTCGGGGAGGTGACAAGACGAAAGGACAAGCGGGAACAGAGACTGTAGCACAAACCCCCAGAGTGACAAACAATGATGTAAAACAATGGGATCTAGGGACACAGGAAGAAACAAACTCAGAGATCAGGGGAGACCCAGTGTGTGAGGCTCTGGTGGGGGGGGGGTCACAATCTTGGGGGAAGGTACCACTGGGATACTAGCAGGGAGCCGGGGGTCCTTGCCTGTGCCGACCCCCTGGGCGAGGCGGGGCTGGCTGGTGTGAGGTCAGCAGGTCCGAGGCTGTGTGTGTCCGTCTGTCTGTCCCTGGGGGGTCCTGTCTGGCCTCTGGGGGGTGACGGGGCAGGCGGGCCGCAGAAGCAGCCCAAACCTGTCATTAGCGGTGAGGGCCGTGACGGCGGGGGCCCCCCCAGTCCCAAGCCGCGGTCCAGGGCCCTGGCAGCCCCGCCCCCCACCCCCTCCTTGATCCCTGAGGAATCCCGGGAATTGCGAAGTGGGTCCAGATGATGTTGACACAGGAAATGGTCATCAGCTGCTGGCCTCAGCTCCACAACCCCTATGACCCCCCACCCCCGGCCCCCTGCTGAGCCCCCTCTAACCTGTGTCATCTCTGACGGAGGCAGCCCAGGGCCACTCAGCTCCCACCAGGATGTTTACAGGAGATGCGCAGGGCAGGGGGTCAGCCTCACAGGGCTTCCAGAGAAATGGGATCTGGGCTTCTGGACAGTTGCCCTCAGAGGAGTCCTGGCCTCCTCCTCCCCCGTCAGACCCAGGAGTCCAGACTCCCAGCCCC